AAAATGTACATGCAAGTAGTTGAATATTTTTCACATAGACAATATCACAAGAATGAGACCACATAGACAATATCACTAGAACGAGATGTGAAGAAAGTAGACAGTGACCCAGTATGAGAAGCAATGTCCTAAGAAAGTAGAAGGAATAAATAGAAAGAGACAACAAAGAGGAGTAGATCTTAAGGACGTGCAAACAATGGAGGAGAAATTGTTCAATGAGAAATAAATAAGCAAAAATAAGTGCGGCAATACAAAAAAAAACTGATAGGCCCAAGAGGAAAAATATGTATACTCTGATGTTTTTTTAGGAAAACATAACTGTACCTGAAAAAACATATTCAATTGCAGATCACAGAGACATTTTTAGAGACATATATGCCACAATGCTCATAGAATTAACATATTATCCAAATTATATTTTCAAAGGATTGCAGATCCTAGAGACATATGCCACATTAACATGATATACTAAAATTACATCAGCAAGTACAAAAATTTACAGTGCATACTAGAATGTAAACTTAGTGCTAGTAATATATAAGTGTTGGCCTAAGCAAAAGGTATTCTTTTGCATAGATAGAAACTTACCCTTTAATCATTCATATATATCGGGCTTGGGTGTCCCTCAGTTGCATTCAGATCATCTACCTACCCAGAAAAGTCTATCTGAGCTGTTAGAGCCCCCTAGAAACAACTCATGCAAAAAAGTGTCAACAGAAAATACAACTGGATGAAAAAATCATACAAATAAAACACAGAAAAAACAATAGAGGATCAATTGTTCACTGATGAACAGAAGAGTTAACATGAAAAAAAACATCTAGTTATAATTCAGTAGGACACATTCACCATTATAAGATCCAATTCTCAATTCATACTTTTCATATACAGGAATGCTAAATGATTCACGACATCTCCCAACCAAGCTAATAGGAACAGAACATCTACGAATTCAGAAGGTTAAGGCAGCCTAAAACACAATCCACAACTAGCTAGAACTAGCCATCCCAGATACATTGACAACCAAATAACCAACTATCCAGCTTGATAGCTTCCATCTCGATAATATTGGGATCCAAAGCTCGCCCTACAGTTGATCAATCCTACCTCGCTGAAAAAGGTCCCTTCCAATTTCAATGCACAGTAAACTAAATTTAACCTATCTGGCTATCTCGCTGAAAAGGGTTGCCAGTTGTTGCCTAATAAAACAAAGTGCATCGAGCCAACACTTGAATTGAAAACGCATATGCATACCATGAAAGCGAGCAAAAGAGAAGAAATGTAGAAGTTAGAAAAGTCCTAGTGACGAATGGAACAGCCAGAGCGACAAGCAAGTTCCCAATTAACTAATGAAACATCGTTACACACCACACCCAATGATTTGTTTGCTCCAATTTGAACTACTAAGCTATTTTCCGCTGGCCTGCTCAGATCCCACCACAACTTGGACATCGCTGGAAGCTCAAATGTTAGAAACATAATCCCAAACCGTTGCCAAGCAAGCCAACAGCTCGTATGAGAGCTGCAGCACAATCACGTCAAAATAGAGCTCCGGAAAACCCAAATTTCTCAGACCAAGCAAATCAAATCCCAGATTCCCACTACAACCAATTGGAGCTCCAGAGAAGAAAAATTCCTCAGAACAAGCGAGCAACCAAAATGGCCCAAACCCGAGGTCATCACACAGAGTTCCTCGCCGACTACCGAAAAACAAAAACAAACTCTGAACATCTCGAGCTACATCTACTGCACATCCACCGACGACTGTGACCATCGGCGCGCATGAAAAGTAGCACCTCAAACAAAAGCAAAATCGACGAACAACCATGTGAAGAACAAAATACACTTCAAAAATGACCGCACAAAGACACTCCCGCAATGTCTTGGTTCGCTGGGCTCCACTCACGGCCGTCGGCACGGGAGAAGCAAGCGCTCTAAGATTCCCCGCCCAATCACCGCCCTGCGGCACATTTCATTCGGCTGCGACTGCCCGCCAAGCTCCGCCCACCCACCACCTGCGGCGGCGCCATGGCACGATGGTAAGCGGCACGCAAGGAAAGAGCCCCCACCCACAACTCGCCACACCTCAACGGAACTGCCGCCGACAACCTCCGCCCCATGCACCCACCGCCTGCGCGCGGCGCAAAAGCGAAGCGGCGGCGAGGACACGGTTTGCGGGTTTTGGATGCTAATTTGCGGACCCGTTAGCGCTGGTGTACGCCCAAAAGGCTGCACGGATCTTGAAACAACATCAGCGGTCCAGATTTCGACAGATAAAAAGCCACAAAATCTGTCGACAGAAATATAGCAAAATTCAAATAATAAAATACCAAACAAAGATTCGTTTGAACCCTCATTAATCGCGCTATTATAATAAATTTTACTATGCTAATCAAAGTGTTTGTGACTATATCATCCTACCTACGTATGTGATCCTGTCCTGAGATTACTATTTGCAAATTAAAAGACGATTCTACCTAGGATCACAATCTTTACAAATAACAGCCCAACATGACAACGATGTACAACGATGCATTTTTTATCTTATATTTCTATTTTTGCCTTCGTCGTCGACGATGCTGCTGCACTAACACGGACATTGAGATGCGAGCTAGAGAGCAAAGCGACTGTGTGACTGAGGGCAGAGACGAGAAGACCATGAGGCCCATACTACTGTGAGAGGCCTCAGCCCATTCCATTACGGCCCCGGAGAGCAGAGTGCTTTGCTGCCTTGGATTTGCTCATGACTATGTCTGTGAATTAGTGATGTACTTCCTTCATCATGTAATACAATGCATTCCAAAAAAAAAATAAGACAACTTAAGTGAATACTCAAATATGACGTATACCTATGGATTAAACCTAATTAAGAAGTTTGTCGTCAAATACAAACTTTGCTAAATTTGTGCATGAACACAACATAAAATACATTATATTTCAATATAAATTTAGAAGTCAAAATGCATTGTTTTTAATTAGGACATAGGAGTACGCGCTTCTCGCCAAACTATTTAGATTTTGGCAGCCGATATATCATTTCCTATACAGAGACAACGTTTCAAAATGCATGGTGCGAGCGAGCAAACTTATATCAAACAATATAGTTTCATGGAATATAGTACAAATATAGATTCCAATGAAAATCACACATTAATTCAATTCTATGAGCTTGTGTTGTTTGATGCAGGAGTTTAAAGATGACATGAGCAGTTAACAGAGTGAACGACAGTTACTGACTGACTGAATGGCAGTTCCATATGGATGTAAGTGAGGTTAACTTGTTTGTTCCATAAAACCCATAAAACAGGCTTAATTCTTGTATGTTATGTGAATAACTCACAAAATTAAGTCTATTTATGGGTTTATAGACAAACCTGCTTCCATCCTAAGCTCCTCACCCATGGAAGCAGTGCAAGTCCACTCTCATGAAAACTGTCATCCTCACGAAATCTCCATTTTCTGGTATACGGTGGCAAGCTAGAGTAATAAGCACACAAAATGGCAAGGAAATCTGTGTATACGGCCACCGAATCACGCCGGTGGGCCTGGTAGACAGAGCATAATTATTTTCCACACGCTACGCACACACACTGCCCTACAACATCACACCGTGCTTATTGTATATATTATATTATTACACGTACGGTCACAAACTCACACGTACGGCCGGTACGGTCATGCATGCATGCATCCTATGACCGGCCCGTGAAGGAACGGCGACGTGTACGTACGTCGGCCTAGCTAGCCCACGACGGGCGTCCTGACGACGATCAGGTTTTCGTCGAGGAAGAGGCAGACGCGGTGGTCGTCGAAGTCCGGCGGCTGGGGTCGTCGGCTTGGAGGAACTTGAAGATGACATCCTGCCTCTGCGACATGATGATGGCTACCGCCTCCACCATTTCTTTACCGACCATCTCCGGCCACGACGACTTCAGCTTGCCGACGCCACCGTCATCGGCGCTGGCCACCGCTGCCGCCGTCAAGCTCAACCTGCCCATATTCTTTTTCGGTCCGCCGGCGCCCATGCAGTGGATGAAGCGAAGTGAAGCTGCTACTAAGTCAAATCGAGATCTGGGCATTATTTATAGGGTTAGCTAGCTAGATAGCAATGGCGAAATATGATGGGGCCGGCATCGGTTTCACCCACGGCATCGACCTTGTCTTGCTCGATCTTACGCATTTTCCTGTCTTTCGTGTGCATAGTACACGTGCATGGTGACGTGTACATGTCGTCTATGCTTTGCTAGGATGATGATGGCCGGCCGAAAAGCAGTGACAAGTGGATCAGAGCTGCTGCTTCTGCGCCTCTTTTATTTTATTTTATCTCGAGCTTGGCTCTAGGGCCTTGTATTACTCATCGATAGCTCAGCGCATTCGCGAGCAACCACGTTCTTTACAAATATCAGGAGGATCATAGGCCATAGCATTGATTAACCCGTATCCTAAATTAAGCCTAGCTTCGCAATAATCTTGTGTGCGCAGACGAGAGTTACAAGATCGTGGAACATTAGAAATTTTGTGACGACTAAACCGGTCACGCAGGAAATTGTGGATGTACATGAAAAGCATCCCGCTTGGCTCCGAGTCTCGCTCAGTACTGCAGTTGGCTGGAATCCGTCTCTATCTGGATCCGTGAAATACCCTACACTTCGGCCGCCTCCACCAACTTCACACGCGCCATTGTTTCAGCCATTAGTGCATTATGCACTGGACTGACGACGTTGCCAGCCCCAGCTAGAACCATGCTTCCGTCTTGATCTCTGATTATGAGGCCCCAAGCACCTTAGGGTATATTAAAATGACGTGCGTGTGTTGTACGTATACAAACGTGAATCTCTCTGTATATGTATATGGGTCTAGAATAGCTTCACTAACTCTGCAATATAAATTCATCGTGAGAGCAGCTCAAAAAAAAAAAAACAAGAGTTTTAGAGCACCTCTTTAGATGCTCTCTGAACCACACATTTTCTTTAGAATAAAGTTTATGGAGCACGCGACCCATGGAGAAGCTCCGCCGATTCCAGACGTTCAAGGAGACGGCGCTCCGCGTCGCGTCTCGTGCTGGAGTCGCAGGAGGCCGGGCTCCGGTCTGAACGCCTTCGCCGACCTGAGCGCCGACGAGTTCGACCGCGACTACAGGTGTCGCAGGACGACGACGCTGGCGGAGTGGCGCAACCGCAACCTCAACCTCACTGCTCCTCCGTCCGTGAAAAGGCGCGGCGGCGACTTGCCCTCCCAGTTGCCTGGGACTGGCGTGAGAAGACGTGCGGTGATCAGCCGTGCCTCGGTCCCGTCAAGGATCAGGGGAACTGTGGCTCCTGCTGGGCCTTCGCGGCGACGGGCGCCATGGAGGCTCACCACGCCATCATAGGGGCGAGAAACAAGGAGAAGCCGATCCAGCTGTCCCAGCAAGAGCTGATCGATTGCGATCCGGGGAGCGATAAATGCCCCGTCGTCGTCTCCATCGCCGTCGGCGACAACAACACAGAATTCAGATATTACGAGGGCGGGGTGTATGGCAAGGACAAGAAGTGCGGACTTTGGAACGATCACGAGCTTCTTCTCGTAGGGTACGACTCCAACACCTACATTCTCAAGAACTCTTATGGAGATGACTGGGGCGTAGAGGCTTTAATAAATCCAGAACCTTATATATACGTCAAGAAAAGTTTGTGCCTGTTGGCAGCCAGAACCTAAACTTTGATATTTTATCTCAGAAAGTTTTTGTGACTCGTACGTCTTCCTTTTCAAGAGACAAACGAACAATATCCGGCATACAGTAGTTTTATTACACCGTCGTAGGAACATGAATTTGGATGGAGATAAAATTCTCCTATGACAACTCTAGCTTTACAAGATATACTATTTTTTTATTCTTTTTTTTTCGTTCCAAGCCATTCGGATATCCAAATCACTCTTAGTACTAATGATAGATGAAAATTACCTCTCAAGATATCTACAACTTTAAAATTACTTTTTAAGTGATCTCAATAATGGAGTTCGCTGATTTCCACTGGCCCTCCACATAGACAGTTCGTAAAAATCAATATAGTACCGACAGTAGAAACCTTTTTTGTATTAGTGAGGATTGCAAAATTATTTTATGAAATTTATAATTTAACGTGTGTGTTCCTCATAACTTCAAAGTGGTTCATAGCTAGTGTTACTATCCTTTGCTCACAGAAAAGAACGTACACCCATTTGTTAGAGTATATATACCACGACTAGGATAGATTTAGTTGGGATTATGCTCCCATGTATTGGCTTGACACTGCAAGTCATGCAAAAGCTTATGTATATCGTCCAAGAGGTACAATGTAAATAATCCAATTTCACTCAATTCTAATCCTCATACATGGTATCATGAGTTTAAGTTCCAATTTAGAGCATAAGACATCGCTTCCGCACTACGCGCCGCCTAGGAGATCGATCTCCACTGGGGCCCGAGCCAGCTTGTTTTGGTGGCTCATCATATTGATCTGTCGCTCTCGTCATCGTTCTAGTCTGATTGCGGCAATTGATAGTCTGCCTCCTTGTATCATCCTAGTCATTCCCTGGAGTGGCCAGATCCATTGACCAGGATCGTAGTCACCCATCCCAACCATGTGCTCTGACCCGTCCTCCAAGTCGTCACTCTCCTCCACCACCGTCAACCGAGACCTTCACCACCCCTTGCCCAGGTAGAAATTGACATCGTCCCGCAACGACCCACCCGCCACTACCAGGCATCTCGGAGGGTGGATTCGGCCCCGCCTTGTTACTCCCTCTTGTTGCTTTCCACCAGAGCTCACCACCGACCCATGTTGTCTCTATCCGCAACTCCTTGCTAGGCCATCGAGATCTCCATGCTAGGAGCCGTTGTGGGGCCATGCATGCCGCTAGAGGGGACGCCTCTGGCTGGGCCACCACCCGGCCCTTTCGCTCGCCCAACCGTCCTCAGCCCCTCCACTATCACCTCCCTAGGCCGGCAGCTAGATCTTGCCGACGCTGGGGCGGCTCTGCCCCATCCTCCTCCGAAGTACCTAAGCTTTGTATCTATTGCTAGTTGTATCCCTTTTGGTTTACCCGATCATAGATCAGGGTTGAGTCGTCCATCGTCTGCCCACCTCGCGCACTACTCCATCTTCGGCGTCAACTACACACCAGCATTGACATCTTCGACCATGCGGCTAGGGCAGGCATGTGATGTCATCATTGCCACCACAGATTATTAGGATGCCTCCATCGTCTTCTTCTATCTTCATGTCGCCTCAAGCATACATGGTCTAATCAGCCAATTGTGCGTGATCTACCCAACTCCCATGACGTTTATCATCGAGTATCGCATGTTTACTCCGAGCAACAGGTCTTCTACTTCTATGTCTTCTCCTCAACCACAACCACTACTAGAATCAACAAGTTCCCCTAGAGTATTTTCTTTCCCTAGCGTTTTGTAAGTATCCTAGGGAAAGATATGTTTCCCTAGAGTTAATTAGCAAAACCGTAGGGAAACTTCTCTTTCCCTAGGGAGCTTATGGTTTCGTCGGGACGAGTCGAAGGTACAGACCCCAGGCTGAACCACGTCGATGCCCACGTGTCTAGTTTCCCTAGGAAAGAGATAGAAATCCTAGGGAGATACTAAACCTAAACCCTCCTAGAAATTCCCCGCGCACAATTTCCCTTCACGGCGCTCTTTTCCCTCACTCGGTACCCAGAAATCCCCTCGCTCCGGTTCCCTTGGCGCCGCTCGCAACTCCCTTCACGCCGCCGGCATCTCCGGTCGCTCCATGCCGCACGCCACGCGCCACGAGAGCGCCAGACGCCGCGTACACAGCCCACGCCCACCCGGCGTGTCGCACGCCGCCACGCCTCTCTCCGTGCATCGCCGCAGCTCCTCCGCAGGCGCGCGATGATAGCTCGCTCCGTTCGTGGTGGGCGGGCCGCACGCCGCGCAGCTCTCTCCTCCTCCGCGCCGCACGTGTCTCCTTCTAGCACGCGTGGCTGGACCCACGAGACGCGCTGCACGCCTCCACTCCGACTCCGAGGCGAGGACGACGAAGGCTCCGCCGTCTTGGCAGCAGCCCCATCGCCACTTCTTCTTGACTCGGCGTCTCGATCGGTGAGTGTTAATTGTGGCCTGCTCATACGGGTTCGGGTAGGATTCGACTAGAGTTAGGTATCATCGGTCTTGATATTATAGATCTGGTCAAATTTGTGAGTACCCAAGATTTGTGGCCTACTCGTATGGGTCAAATTTATCTTCTCATCTCTTTGGTACATTATGGTGTTTGCAGTAGCACACTGTTATAAATTTGCATTTTTGACATGCACATTTCAGATTCTAGCGTGGAGAGAAGATCTTGATTTTTGCAAGGAAGATTGGAGGGGATAAAAAAGGCAGGGATCTGCATTTGTGCTGTTGTGCAAGCAAAGCTTGAAGGTGAGAGTGAAATTTATCTTGCCTCATCTCTTCTGTACATGTGCTGTTATCTTGGGGTTTGCTAAGGTTTTTAGATATTGAACTGGGGTTTGTTGTGTTACAGTAACTAGACATGTCAGTAGAAGACCGTAGTTGGATGTACAATGGCTGGAATGACAATGGTTGTCATTCACAGGAGTGGGTGCGAAACACAAATGCTTTCCTAGATCGTGCTTTCAATGATGTCCATAATTCTGAAAAATGTGGAATACCTTGTCCGTGTTCGAAGTGTGGAAATAGAGTTAGACGAAGGAGAGCTATCATGACCATGCATTTGTGTAAAAGAGGATTTATGCCTGGGTACACTGTATGGACCAAACATGGAGAGCAACCTTATAGCGAGCCTACATTGGAACGTGCCAATGATACCGTCGATGGTTTAGATGAAATGCTAGCTGACTTTGGTGATGCAATGCATACAGATAGTATAGAAGACGAACCAACGGTTGATGCAAAAGCATTTTATGCCATGTTGGAAGCTTCACAAGAGCCACTCCACAATTTCACTAGTGTTGCACGACTAACCACAGTGGCACGCTTGATGGCAATTAAGTCACAGCACAACCTCGGTGTAGAATGCGTTAATAAATTACTGAATCTGTTTGACCAAATTCGGGGATCCACTCTCACCGCCTATAGCTTTGACCAAATACAAGACTATCCTTGGGTTACTTGTTAGGGACTTCATCCCGATTAAGTACAGGAAGTGGATTGGGAAAGATGATGACCGGTGGAGGGTTCTCGAAAACGAGAAGGATTACATATGGGATGTCAAGATCCTAGAGTATTTCACTTTCCTAGCAGAGTATGATAGTGAGTTAGTCAAGAAAAAAGCAAAAAAATCATGGGAACATGCTTTAGGAATTTCAAGGGGACATTGTACAAGAATTTTGTCCTCCAAAATAAAGAGCCAGATTTCGATAGTGGACAGTTTAGCAAGCAGAAGGACTTCTGGTAGGGTTTCAAGGAATACAAGTTATCCGAGGAGTACTTAGAACTGAGTAGGAAGAATAAGGAGAAACAGAAAGCGACGAATCCTCATCATCTCGGCTCTCGTGGCTACGCCAAAAAGATGTCAGAATTTGAAGCAGAACTTCAAAAGATGGATTGCCTTGCTGAGGAAGACGTTCAGGTTGAGACCGCTGATTGGGAGCCTAGATCGGTAATATACTGTATGGGTAGGAAAGTACGGCACGCCGAGGATGGGAGCTTTAGCTCCTCAAATCAACCCATGAGCGAACTCATCCAGAGGATCTCCCAGATAACTGAGGAGGTGAGGCAAGGGACTCGCACTTCTAATAGGGAGAAAGACATGCTCACTCAAGCACTCGGAACCAATGAGCACCCTGGTCACACTAGAGGAACCGGTGTTGTTCCTTGGAAACTAGCATTCCCCCAAGAATCTAACACTTACCGAAGCCGCTCGAGGGGTAGAGCGAAAAGCAGAGGCGACTATTTGAGGAGACTAAAGAGATGGAAGATAGAATGGAAGCACGGATTGAGGCGACCGTTGAAGCGCGAGTCGAGCAAATTTCTTTGTCAAGGGATCATGAGTACCACAAAACTCTCACTCGCCTTTAGCCCACAGTTTAGGGGTCACAAAGCAATTGCGGATCGACCTCGCTTCGACGAAGAAGAGGCGAATGTGCCTCATCCGGTGGGCGGCATCCTTGAACCCGTCAATGTCAAGTTGTACATCCATCGAAATGGACAAAGGATAAGGTGGCCTTCGGCCGGACACGGCCTATGGGAGACAGGACAATTAATGGTCGCCCAATTTCACTAGGGTACACTCGCATCACCATTGATGAGAATACTTGAAAAGAAGTATAACAAGATACCCATTGAGTGCCCCGTAGCGGAAGACAGGCCAAAACTTGGTCATAACAAGGGCTCTCAAGTGGCCTGGCACAAGCGCTTCATTAAGCTTGACCACCAATTGTCCTCCTCGATGATGAGGACATTGCGAGTCTTCGCCCACCCTCGATGATCACTCACCATCTCCCAACAGAGATCACTCCCTCCTTATCCGGAGCCATCATCCCGAGAGAAGGCAGAGGTCTCCTTCTATTCCTCCTCGTCCGACTCCATCTTCATCAACCCCGAGAAAAGCGACTCCTCCTCCTCCTTCTTCATCGGTATTGGAAAACAAAATTCTCGTCGTCATCCTCCTCCACCTCAGCCCAAAACAAGATCAAGGACATCCTCGCAGTCGTAGAAAAGGTCCTTGGATTCGGTTGCTAATGCTTCCAAAGTGGACCAATAGAAAAGAAAAAGGCCGTTCAGTGGTAGTGTTACCTCCTTGATGAATGAAAAATTTACAGCACACATCTCGAAGGAAGATTGTGTTAGTTTCTTCCATCTCTGTGTCTCACTGCCTTCGTTTTTGTTGAAGTCCGAATTCGAAAGGCAAACACAGAATAAATACGCTACAACAAGAGATGAAAAAATACACAATAAAGATCTAAGGAACATATAGAAGTACATCGAAGACAACCCAGGATTAACCATGGAAGAGGTCGCGACCATCTATTGTGATGTACAAGGGACGGCAACACCGGCAATGAAGTATGAAAGGGCAATCTTTTGGTTTTACGATCATGAGTATAAAAAATCGACAACATATATGCATGATTACATGAATATTACGTGGCTCAAGCAACAGAGACGGGAGACTTTGGTTTTGAGGTTATTATTCGTTCGCCACATGTTTTCCATTATCCTGAAGAAGAGAAGTTCGATGTCGAGTGGGAGTGCTTGTTCCAGCTATACCAGAAACGCTCTCTCGATGTTCAAATGTTGACGCTGTGGACTATGTAAGTACCCTACACGCACGATATTACAATTAACTACTCTCTTGAGACATAAAATGTTAACTTTTGAGCACTTCCCATGATTTTATGTAGGTGTATAGCAAAATTTTACATTCTAAAAAGCAAATGGGATTACATAGACCTCTTGGACCCCATGCGAGTCAATGAGAGGACATGTCTAGGCCTCTATGGATGTGACGTGGAAGACCTGAAATAGAGATTGATTGTTGTTTTCGACGAATTCACGATGAAGAAGAAAACCCACATACTTCTAGCCTACAACTGCGAGTATGTGTTCTCGGCTTTTAATTTTATACTTCTTTTTTGTTAAGATTATTTGATAATTAGGATTTTATAATTGCAGCAACCATTTCATCTTCATTTGTGTTAATCTTGCCAAAAATTTGCTCGAGGTGTGGGACTCGAAGAAAAAACCATTTGATCATCTGGATGCACTGGTGCCAGTTCTGAATTAGTAAGCGATCCTAATAACATATTATTTTCTAATCACACATATCGCTTTCTAATATTTCTCCTTTTCATGTTGCTCAATGTTCGAAGAAGACATATCGGTGGGACGCCGGTCCTATTCAAGGTTGTCGAAATGGAGGGAAAGTACCTTTCACAGCCGGCGGGAAACAATGAATGCGGGTTTTATGTAATGTGGGCAATGCTTCGCTACATCGGCAGGAAATCGGAAGAAGCCGATAAGTTGGTGTGTATAATCCCCATTTCATTTATGTCTGTTAATAATTCAACAAAATAATTTACTGTTCCTCTTTGGATATCATCATTTTTTAATGACAGCGCAAGAAATATAAGCACGAAAGGCTGCTAGACATGGAGATCATCGCACTACAATCGGAGCTGGCAAAATTCATCTTAACCGAGGTATTGAAAAAAGATGGAGTATTTTCCATTACACAATTCGTGAAGTATAAGGACCAGTATGGCCCAGAGCGGCTCGCCACATTATTGTAATAAGTCCGAGAAGCATTGCACAATCTGTGAAGTCCGAGAACATTTCTTTTTATTTTGAGTTATCGAGATCTTGATAAGAACATTTGAATCAGAATCGTAACATTTGTAATGTTTAATATTAATGGACATGTCGTCTACGTAAGCGTATATAAAGCGAAACCCGATTCCACGAAAAAATATGAATTAAAATAAATTATAAAATAATAAAATACGAGCGGGCCATCACACGCCGACTAGCAACAAACCGGCAATGTTGTCGTAACCATCATCGCGGTTAGAACCAAACCGGCGGTGTTGGCTTGCTCAACACTGCCGGCTTGAACCATGAACCGACAGCGATGGTTACGATAACACAGCGGTTTGATCCATCAACCGACACTAATGTTTACGACAACACTTGCCGGTTTGATCCATGAACCGTGTAGGCTGCTGCTCAACACTGCTGGCTTGAGCCAAGAGCCGACACTCTTGAAGCAACCGTCCACTGTCGGTTGGCATTACAAACCGGCGGTGTTGTTCAAGCTGGTCACTGCCGGGTATGCCTTTGTCGGTTCAAAATCCGGCAGTGAAGTGGGTTTTTGAACCGGCAGTGATGTCCAGATCTAGGATAGTATGGGCACGGCGGCCTTCCATCTTCAAAACAGGCGATGAAATTTCTTATCACCGACAATTTATAAGTGGGTCGCGCATTAGGCGACTAACCGGCACTGCTAAATATTTTCACCACCGGTTTAGCGTATGATACGGCGGCGAAGACCGGTACAGTTTTCACCGCCAGATCATACGTCGAACCAGCAGTGAAATCTTTCATCCACCGTCGGTAAGTCACGCTTCTACGTCCCATCAACCTATGAACCGAACAGTTAAATATATCCCTGCCGTTCTCACATATCCGGCGGCGAAAGTTCGGACGGTGATTATATATCCTTTTTTAGTAGTGTATATAGCTGGAGATTTAATACCTAATGGTAACAAAACACCGGTAGTTCATTCTTCAATTCCCACACGTAGGCACAGTAGTTGATGACTTGACGGCAATCACACGTACACATGCATATGTCCTAGCCGAAAGCGAGGACATACAACAGGCAACAGCAACGGGATATTTATTCCATTACACTCCACACACACAGGTCGACCTCGTCGTCATGTGATGACTGACGAGCAGCAGCAGCAGACGACGACGACGACGACGACGACGACACACACATATGATGACTCCAAACAAAACCGGCAGCGGCCGGCCGGCGGCGGCGCTAGCTAGCTAGCTAAGCTAGCCGATGACGGGGACCTGGTTGCAATGCTATTGTTGTCGATGAAGACGCGGACGCGCGTGGGGTTGAAGTCCGGGATGACCGGCGACCCCGGCGGGAGCACCTCAACGGACACGTCCGGCCTCTCGTGGGCGATCGTCGTTGCCGCCGGCGTCGCCAGCACGCCCACCAACTCCGGCCACGACGACTTCCCGGGGATCGGCACGCTCATCTTGGCTGACCCACTGCCACGATGAGTGTCGTCGTCACTAGATTAGCTCGGTGTGACTAGTAGATACTCAGATACCTTTACGACGACACGTCTTTGTACGTATATACACGATCGAGAGCGCCACGTCGTCATTCCTGACGGTACAATAATAAAGGTGATGCTAAAAAATTAAAGCTTCTTAATTTAGTGCACGGTCATAGCTAGCTAGGTACGAATGTGTATGTGCCTCGTTTCATCAGGAACTTTTTGTTTGCTATATTTGTGTTAGAGCTTGCCGCCGGTCGCCACAACGAATGACCCTTGTGTTCCGATGAACATATACAGTATTCCCTCTGTCAAAAAAAAAGTACAAGTCTTACTTCCTGAGGAGCTAATCGATTCTATTCTTAATTAGATTTGTACAAAACAAAATATTGGCATTTATATCTATAAATAGGTTGTTTATTGTAAAATTATATTTCGTTATTAATCTAGTGATATTTGTCATGTTTCATAAATGTTGATATTTTTGTAAATATTTGGTTAAATTTAATTTGAACTATTTGACTTCTTGGGAGGTGATCGAGGTTTTATTTTATTAGGATGGAGAGAGCATTAACAAACTTCCTAGGTTTTATATATATATAACTATTCTGAGTCCTGGCCGTTGAATTCTAATCAGCGCCCCGGCGGAGATCCTGCGAAGAAATGCTGACGCAATCAATCGAACGCATACACCTTTAATGCTGACGCAATAAATACTCTTCCGTTTCTATCAGTCAGTACATATCTCTTCCGTTTCTATCAGTCAGTACATATCTGTTGACAGATTTTTAGGCCTTGTTTAGATTGCAAGTTTTTTCACTCTCTCTCCGTCACATCAAATCTTTAGACACATGCATGGAGTATTAAATATAGATAAAAAATAACTAATTACACAGTTTAATTATAAATTATGAGATTTAATCTTTTAAGCCTAGTTAGGCCATGATTGGACAATAATTATCAAATACAAACGAAAGTGCTAAAGTGCCAAATCTTCGATTCCTAACCCTAATCTAAAGCGAGGCCTTACACCAAAAATCTGTCAAGTTTTAGACAAATGAAAAGCTGACACATCAGCCATGGATAACTGACAGATGCTAGAAGAAAAAATCTGTCAGATTCTTATTACACAAGACAATATCCAACAAAGATCCACAACCCGTTAACAAATACAGCTGAGTTGTTGCGCGTCTGCTGCTCATTGCTTTTGCTGCTGCTGCTCCCTCTTGGCCGTGCTCACTAGCAAATACAGTGGATGCAAAACCTTGTAATTCTTTGGCTTGGTGAAGAACTGCATAGTTGATTTCAGACCAAATTGTCAAACCCAAACTGACAGGAAAAGAATCTGAAATGGCATCAAGAGAAAAAGGTGAACCATACGCACGGTGAGTTAACTTAGATCATCAAAAGATTCAAAAGCAAATTACAAAATGGAAGTTCACTTACATTGCCCATTGCAATGAGCCCCTTGTCAAAGAAGAAAACAATTCCCAGAAATGAGAAGAGTATTCCAAAGCCTGTCAGGCCAAGCCCAATCTCTGTCCAAGATGAAATTCAGACGTCACAGATCAATGAGTTGGAAGAATAGACTGTGTAATATCTGAACCAGCGAATATGCTTTTACAACATCACACAAAAGATTTTGCAAGCCAGAATTTTTCGTCACAATTCGAACATTTAACATGATCTTTTTAATACAGCCAAAACACTAAAAAGGTGGTATTTTACCGCTCGATGATTCTACCAAGATTCATTGAAAATTTGCATCAGAACCCAGACAGAACAAGAATATTTCAAAGTGGTTGAGCATCTGTTCTTTACAGTGGTCAATCAGAAACTAGCATAGACCTTGCAGCAGCAGCATATCTGATGCTGGTCTCAACTAAATCCAAGCTTCTTTTAGAGATTCAGCGGTCAGCCAGCAGCTCAGCACTGCAATTATTATTTGTGTAGTATGGCAATTGTGTAAGCCTAACCAGCAGAAGATCTTAAAACTTTAATCTATGCTTTGCCTAAAAGTTTTATCCAGATGAACAAACTCAGTTGAGATTAGCCAAAGTAACAAACTGCTATGATATCACACATGCTATATAGGATGAACAGACCCCTATACTTGTTCTTCTAATAACACCCCCAACCCACCCTTGTGAATGGAAAAAAAACAGAATTAGTAATTTGTTACCTCTCTTGCATTGTACACACTTATGACACAAAAACTACCAATCAAGTGGTATTGGCACATTGTAGACCACACAGTGCATGATACATCTGCATTTCACCATGCATAAAATAAAATAAAAGACACAAACACACAGAAAGAGAGAGACACACAAACAAAGACACACACCAATAGCGCTGCATTTGCTGCTACTGCTGATCAGTAGCAGCTCAATCAAAAGCAACAACTAAAATACAACCCAGAAGAAAACAAATAGCTTTGGGGCCCTCAAAAGAAAAAAAAATACCACACACACAAACCAGCAACAATCAAAGACACTGCACCCACAAACACAAACAAACACCCACACCAAAAAAAGCAAAAAAAACACACACAGAAAAGCGCGCACACACGCAGAGAGACACACACACACATAGACACAGAAATACACACAAAAAAACACACACACACACATAGACACAAAAATACATACCGAAAAAACACAACTAATGCCAAAAGAAAAAGGGAAATAAAAATAAAAAAGGAAATAGAACAGGTTAGCGGGTTTCGTATGCGCCAGTTTTAGAATCCGCTAGCGCAGGTTTACGCCCAAAACACCACACGAATCTTGAAACACAATGAACGGCCCAAAAATCTGACAGATCCAAATCAACAAAATCAGTAGACAGAAATATAGCAAAATTCATCTAGATAACTGTTGACAGATTGTTCAACCCAAAATCTGTCAAATTTTTGACAAATGAACAGCTGACACGTCACCAAAACAACTGACAGATTTGTAATATTAAAAACTGTTAGATTTCCACAACACGGGTAGAAAAATAGACAGATCTAAAACCCGTTAGCATTAGCACATCTAAAAATGATCAGACTCGTTCATTTCATCAGCTGGTGCAAAGGATCAGAAGGTGGCTGCGGGCACCACTAGACTGTCATGCCGACTTGCTGGAACACACAGAGAACGCGCAGGTTACACCAACACTAAAAGGGAGAAAGCAGAGCTACTGCCGGCGCTGTAGCAACACCAGCTCCAGCATCAGCACCTATAGAATATATTGCAAACCGTCTCCTGGTGTTATTGTCTTCCTTTGGGGTGACACCTTTTGGACGACCCTAGAAATGGCATCCACAAATTACATTGTTACAAAAATGAAAAAGGCAGAAATAATTATTGTTGCTACATTTGAACCCCAAAAAAGGTTGGCATACACACACACCCGGACACACAATCACCACCCACACACATACACACAGACGCCCATATAAAAACAAAGCCACACAAACACACAAAGACAGACAGACAAAGAGAGACACACACAAAACTTACAGCAAATATTAAAATTAATTCAAGTCAACTCCATCAAATATTAACTGAAGGGTGCTTAAATCGATGACAACATCAAGTGTACTTCATTGCCTAGGAATGCATCTGTCATTTGAAGTACCGCATGAAAACTGTCCTGCAGTTGGACAGTCTAGCCATCATAGAAAGGAAATTGCGAATTCTCTAGTTGACTTATAATCATTAGGTTGTATCTTGTCAATATTCAACATGAAATATGCAGCAGCAACAACAACAACAAAGCCTTTAAGTCCCAAACAAGTTGGGGTAGGCTATAGTTGAAATCCAGCAGATGCAATCAAGGTTCAGGCACGTGAATAACTGTTTTCCAAGCACTCCTATCTAAGGCTAAGTCTTTGGGTATATTCCATCCTTTCAAATCTCTTTTTATTGCCTCTACCTAAGTCAACTTCGGTCTTCCTCTGCCTCTCTTCACGTAACTATCCTGGCTTAGGATTCCACTACGCACCGGTGCCTCTGGAGGTTTCCGTTGGACATGTCCAAACCATCTCAACCGGTGTTGGACAAGCTTTTCTTCAATTGGTGCTACCCCTAATCTATCACGTATATCATCGTTCCGAACTCGATCCCTTCTTGTATGACCGCATATCCAACGCAACATACGCATTTCCGCGACACTTATCTGTTGAACATGTCGTCTTTTCGTAGGCCAACATTCTGCACCATACAACATAGCAGGTCTAATCGCCGTCCTATAAAACTTGCCTTTTAGCTTATGTGGTACCCTTTTGTCACAAAGGACAACAGATGCTTGGCGTCACTTCATCCACCCTGCTTTGATTCTATGGCTAACATCTTCATCAATATCCCCGTCTCTCTGTAGCACTGATCCTAAATATCGAAAGATATCCTTCCTAGGCACTACTTGACCTGCCAAACTAATATCTTCCTCCTCCCGAGTAGTAGTGCCGAAATCACATCTCATATACTCAATTTTAGTTCTACTGAGTCTAAAACCTTTGGACTCTAAAGTCTCCCGCCATAACTCCAGTTTCTGATTCACTCATGTCCAGCTTTCATCAACTAGCACTACATCGTCCACGAAAAGCATACACCAAGGGACGTCCCCTTGTATGTCCCTTGTGACCTCATCCATCACTAAGGCAAACAAATAAGGGCTCAAAGCTGACCCTTGATGAAGTCCTATCCTAATCGAGAAGTCATGAAATATGTAGCAAGACATGACAAATTGGAGTTAAAAGAAACAACAGCCTATGAAGTAAAAAAGAAGCATTTGTTAGGATCACAGAGTAATTAGATCCATTAATTGAATCTGACACACCTAATAGCAAGAAAATAGTGTTTCAGTGAATACAACAAGCATGCAGAATATAAACCTGCATTACAAGCACACAAACAGTAAAGCCCCCAGAGAGAGTGCTAGAAAATATGTCCATGGATGCAAAGTAGTTCAATCTAGGTTCTACAGTTCAC